GGCGCTGCGGCTGTAAGGGCGAGAAGATATGCTTCATCATGGACGAGTCCAATGTCCTGGATTCCGGCTTCCTCGAGCGCATGAACACGCTGCTTGCCAACGCCGAAGTCCCCGGCCTCTTTGAAGGCGACGACCTGGCAGCGCTCATGACGGCTTGCAAGGAGGGCGCACAGCGCCAGGGCCTGCTCTTGGACTCCCAGGAAGAGCTCTACAAGTGGTTCACGGGACAGATTGTCAAGAATCTCCACGTCGTCTTCACCATGAACCCGCCCGAGGACGGCCTGTCGTCCAAGGCGGCAACGTCGCCCGCGCTCTTCAACCGCTGCGTCCTGAACTGGTTTGGTGACTGGTCCGACCAGGCCCTTTTCCAGGTCGCGCACGAGCTCACCCACTCGGTCGATCTGGAGCGGCCCAACTTCATCGCTCCAGACTCGATTCCGGTCGCCTACCGCGGGCTCAACCTGCCGCCGTCGCACAGAGAGGCGGTCGTCAACTCGATGGTGTATATCCACTATTCTCTGCAACGGTTCAACGAGAAGCTCCTCAAGCAGCAGGGCCGGGTCACGTTCCTCACGCCGCGCCACTTCCTCGACTTTGTGGCGCAGTATGTCAAGTTATACAACGAGAAGCGCGAGGATCTCGAGGAGCAGCAGCGCCATCTCAACGTCGGTCTCGAGAAGCTGCGAGACACGGTGGACAAGGTCCGGGATCTCCGCGTCAGCCTCGCCGAGAAGAAGGCACAGCTCGAGCAGAAGGACGCCGAGGCAAACGAGAAGCTGCAGCGCATGATTGCGGACCAGCGAGAGGCCGAGCAGCGGAAGAACACGTCGCTCGAGATTCAAGTGGCGCTGGAGAAGCAGGAGGCCGAGGTGGCGTCGCGCAAAAAGATTGTGCTCCAAGACCTTGCCAAGGCCGAGCCGGCCGTCGAAGAGGCAAAGGCCTCGGTCAGCAACATCAAGCGCCAGCATCTCACGGAGGTGCGGTCCATGCCCACGCCCCCGTCGGGCGTGCGGCTGGCTCTGGACTCGGTCTGCACGCTGATCGGGCACAAGGTCAACGACTGGAAGCAGATCCAGGCCGTCGTGCGGCGCGACGACTTCATCGCCAGCATCATTAACTTCAACAACGAGAAGCAGATGACAAAGGCGCTGCGCCTCAAGATGCGCAACGAGTTTCTGGCCAACCCCGAGTTCACTTTTGAGAAGGTCAACCGCGCCAGCAAAGCCTGCGGCCCCCTCGTCCAGTGGGTCGAGGCGCAGGTCACTTACGCCGAGATCCTGGATCGTGTTGGGCCCCTGAGAGAAGAGGTGAATCTGCTGGAGGAGCAGGCGCTGCAGACAAAGGCCGAGGCGAGGGCGGTCGAGATGACGATTGACAACCTCGAGACCAGCATCGCCACTTACAAGACGGAGTACGCCTCGCTCATCAGCGAGACGCAGGCCATCAAGTCGGAGATGTCGCGCGTCCAGTTCAAGGTCGACCGCAGCGTCAAGCTGCTCGACAGCTTGTCGTCGGAGAGGACGCGCTGGGAGGAGGGCAGCAAGTCGTTCGAGACGCAGATCAGCACGCTCGTGGGCGACGTCTTGGTCGCGGCGGCGTTCCTGGCCTATAGCGGCCTGTACGATCAGACTTTCCGCAAATCGATGATGGAAGACTGGCTCCACCAGCTGCACCTCTCGGGCATCAACTTTAAGCCGCACAACCCTGTCACGGAATATCTCTCCACGGCAGACGAGCGGCTCGGCTGGCAGGAGAACACACTCCCGGTCGATGATCTATGCACCGAAAATGCCATCATACTGAAGCGCTTCAACCGCTACCCGCTCATCATCGACCCCTCGGGGCGCGTGACCGAGTTCCTGCAGAAGGAATGCAAAGACCGCCGCCTCACCGTCACGAGCTTCCTGGACGACTCCTTCACCAAGCAGCTCGAGAGCTCGCTACGCTTCGGAAATCCCATCCTCATCCAGGACGCCGAGCACCTCGATCCCATCCTCAACCATGTGCTCAACAAGGAGTACCAAAAGACGGGCGGCCGCGTGCTGATCCAGCTCGGGAAGCAGCAGATTGACTTTTCGCCCTCGTTCAAGATCTACCTGTCGACGCGGGACCCCTCCGCGACATTTGCCCCCGACATTTGCAGCCGTACCACGTTTGTCAACTTCACCGTGACCCAGAGCAGTCTGCAGACGCAGTCTCTGGCCGAGGTGCTCAAGTCGGAGCGCCCCGACGTGGACGAGAGGCGCTCCAACCTCATCAAGCTGCAGGGAGAGTTCAAGGTCCATCTGCGGCAGCTCGAGAAGCGTCTCCTGCAGGCCCTCAACGAGTCGCGCGGCAACATCCTCGACGACGACAATGTCATCGAGACGCTCGAGACGCTCAAGACGGAAGCAGCCGAGATCTCGGCCAAGATGAGCAACACGGAGGGTGTCATGGCCGAGGTCGAGGAGATCACGCTGCAGTACAACATCATTGCCCGCTCCTGCAGCGCCGTCTTTGCCGTGCTCGAACAGCTGCACTACGTCAACCACTTCTACCAGTTCTCGCTGCAGTACTTCCTCGACATCTTCCACTCGGTCTTGCATGGCAATCCAAACCTGGCCAACGAGATGAACCACAATGTCCGCCGCGACATCATCGTCAAGGACTTGTTCGTGACCACGTGCAAAAGGACTGCGCTGGGGCTGTTGCAGAAGGACCGCACCACCCTGGCCATGCTCCTCGCCCAGGCGTCCCCGTACAAGATGGACAAGGGCCTGCTGGACGTGATCCTAGATGACCGCATCGAGGGCAAGGACGTGTCTTCGGACGGCGGGGCCAAGGACGGCGCCTTTGCCCGCGCGAGACGACTTGCCGTCTTCAAGGACAAGCTCGACGGCGTTTCGGCGTCCGAGTGGGACAGGTTCTTCACCGAGGAGCTCGCCGAGAATTTCGTGCCACAGCTCTGGGACAACAGCACCGAGGCCAACGACAAGGCGCTGATGTCGCTGCTCCTGGTGAAGCTCTTCCGCCTGGACCGATTCGTGCCGGCTGCCGAGCGATTCGTCACGCTGGTCTTTGGGTCCGACCTCTTCGACATTGTCGAAGACTTGAAGCAGACGGTCGACCAAGTCTCGGCCACACGGCCCATCGCCCTGGTCTCGAGCCCCGGCTTTGACGCCTCGTACAAGGTCGATAGCCTCGTCGAGCGCATGCGCGTCCGGTGCACCAACATTGCCATGGGCTCTAACGAGGGCCTGGCCAGCGCCGACAAGGCCGTGGCCAACGCGGCGCAGACGGGGTCGTGGGTGCTGATCAAGAACGTACATCTCGCGCCAACGTGGCTCCAGAGCCTCGAGAAGCGCATGGAGTCGCTGAATCCCAACCCGGACTTCCGCCTCTTCCTGTCGATGGAGTCGAGCCCCAAAATCCCCGTCAACCTGCTCCGCGCGTCGCGCGTGCTCATGTACGAGCAGCCGGCCGGCGTGCGCGCCAACATGAAGGACTCGATCTCGTCGCTGTCGACGCGCTCGGCCAAGAGCCCCGTCGAGCGCACCCGTCTGTACCTCCTCCTCTCGTTCCTACACGCCGTCATCCAGGAGCGGTTGCGGTATGCCCCCACCCTTGGCTGGAAGGGCTTCTGGGAGTTCAACGACTCTGATGTAAGTTGCCGCCACTTCTGTTTGCTTTATGGTTGATGACTGACTTTGTGTGTCTAGTACGAGTGCTCGGCGTTTGTCATCGACACGTGGGTCGACGTGGCGGCGCAGAACCGCACAAACATTGCGCCCAGCAACATCCCCTGGGACATGATCCGGTACCTAGTGACGGAGACGTACGGCGGCAAGATTGACGACGAAGGCGACTTCAAGATGCTGACGCAGCTCGTGCACACGTTCCTGACGCCCGCCGCCTTCGACATTGGCCACAAGCTGGTCGACGGCCACGACGACAGCGCCGGCGAGGGCGACCTGGTCGTGCCCTCGGGTACCTCGCTCCAGGAATTCATGGTGTGGATTCAGAAACTCCCCGAGCGCGAGCCGCCCACGTACCTCGGCCTGCCGGCCAACGCCGAGAAGCTGCTGCTGGTCGGCCTCGGCCAGAGCCTGATTGGCAATCTGAAGAAGGTCACGGACCTGTTGGACGAGGGTGAGGCCCTGATGACTGAGCTGTGATCTGTGGACGGCTTGTTGAGATAGTGTATGATTGCTGTCGGTCATGGCGGTTATGGTGTGTATGTGTATAGGATTAGGATGTGCAAAGACTCGAGCCGAGTCTGGGTGTTTACCCTTATACTTTTTCTTTCACTTCTTGTCTTTTTCTCCTTTGTCGTTTTGAGGCATTGAAGCTGTTTTTACGACGGCTACCCACGGGTCCGTCTGCACGGTTGGGGGGTTGCGGGTGTTGGAGCTGCCACTACTAGACTTTTGTGTGTGTTTGTTTGGGCGGCGCAATGCGGTGGCGTGGGAGAGGCGTCCTCGGGACTTGCTCCTTTTACTACTATTACTATTAACTCTGAGATATCGATACCCTGTTCAATTCAGATTGTTTACCTACCTTACTTTTATTGTTCGGACTGGAGGTTGCTGTGGTGATAGTTGAGACGATATGAAAGGAGTTTGGGTTGGGGAGAGTCGCAAACTAAACTACCTTAACTACCGGCTGAGTTGGGAAATATGTTTATTGTCTTGTATTGTATTGTTAAAACATGTGCACATTGCTGCAATACGTAGGTAGGTATACTACACGTCCAGACTAAAAAGGCCAGGTTGTGAAGAAGGGTGACAAGTGTGCATGCACGACTCTTGATGAGAGTTTAGCCCTGTGCGAGATTAAGCACCAAAGTCAACTAAAAGCTTTGCATAATTAGGTCGCAAGAGACAAGATGCGGTTCAAGGAGATCAAACATGCGAATAAATGAATGGCAAAACTACGCTCAATATAGCAGGAAGAATAAAAAAGAAGAAAAGATAGAGAAAGAAAAAGATAAAGAAAGAATGGCAAAAAAAAACCCCCCAAATTGGATACACCCGGGATTGAACCGGGGACCTTTCACAGGTAAATTGCGGCTAGAGATGATGAGAGAGACTTGCTCAGACACCAAACCACACAATGCAAAGCGAAAATCATACCACTAGACCATGTACCCTGGGAGCTACTGCTGGCTGCTGCTTTGGATGGTGGATGGCTCGCTGTGGAGGTATAATATGGTTAGTATCCATATCCGCATCCACATCTAGTCCACATGTTTGTCTTTCTTTTGTGGACTCGATAGATAGAGGGATAGGCCATGTTTGCCGGGTTAGATATTAGGTAGGCACCTAGGTGGGTGGTGGCTTTTGACGTTTGGCTTGGGCGTCTCCTTTCTCTTCTCTTCTGGCCTCTTCTCCAGCACCTTATAACAAAAAATGGCAAGGTTTTAGCCTCATAGGTAGCCAGCCCTGTGTGTGTTCGCTGTTCATAGCTCGCCAACAAGGGTGCGCATACACAATATGTTAATTTTAGGGGGGAAGACGATCACTTCAGCTTACGAGTCACGTAGAGAGCACTAGAAATGCAGATGCCCGCCCAGGTCATGCGCCAATTCATCGTAGGACATATAAACTCTGCATTAAACCGTGGGCAGTGCAATCTCACCATTTTACTATGTTGCTCTCATGGTCACTGAATACCAGCAAGTCTTGTTGCCGTGATAGTGCAAGCATTTGTGATGTGAATAAATTTCATTACACTGAATACGATGACTAGAGAATAGAAATAGAAACGGGGCTACCGCAGCGAAGAGAGGTCGTTTTGTCTATACCCAGGCGAGAATATCGCTGCTCAAGAGAAGCTACGCTAGCATCCCAACTTGCCTTGTGGAAAAGAAAACGACGAGAAAGCAAAGGGTAGAGTATTAGTATTGTCTACACCAAAACATGCATGCTACGCTGGTAAAAGCAGGCAAAGGCAAATCCTGCCGCCACGCAACAGACGCTAGGCTCACGGAGCAAGGCCACAAGCCAGAAATGGCTCAAGGAAAAGAAAAAGACGAAGCCCGATCGGGTGCCGCGCCGCCCACCCTAGTCAAAATCTGGTGGCTCGTCACTCTGTGCTCTTCGACGCCCACCTCTTTCGTTGATCTGCAACTTGAGCATGTGGTGGTGGTCAACGGCTGTTGGCTGCAAGCGGGCCGAGTACATGGGCGGGACCGCCGGATACTGGTTGTCGCTGGTTTGCAGCGCTGGCCGTATTGGCGACAAGTGGTCCGACAGCATCTCCTGCTCTCTCCCGTCCTCTCCATCGACCTCTCTGGCGGTGGCTAGCACGACTGGGAGGACAATGGCGTCCTTGTCAAGCGCTGGCAGATCGATGCCGCCGAAGGCAGAGGCGATGAAGTTGCGGAACGGGGCAACTATCTTCCTTGCTTGGGCAATTTCGGTAACCTCGTCCTTGTCGCGCTCATCGACAACCTGGGTGGTTAAGCGCCGGTCGCTGGTTTCGCGAACCTGGTAGAGGAAGCGTCGGATCAAGTCCTCGGGGCTGACTGCGTCAAGGCCGCGTGCACCCGCCAGAGCTTGCTCAATGAAGTCGGGAGCAGCGTGATCGTCGCGCGGGAATGGAGCGGCCGTCATGATCATACAGACGACAGTTGTAAGCAGTTCACTCGGCGAGATGCCCAGCTGTGGCTTGACGTCGTTGGCCCAGTTTGCCGGAGGGTACGCCCGGCGGCTGTTCCCTCCACGGGTATGGGATAAGGAGCGGGGGAAGAGTTCGCTCATCCAGATGTGCCAAAGGGTGCACAAAATCTGGCACGTGGCGCCAACCTGGTCAGCACGGGCATGCCGGATCTTGCTGGGGATTGTAGGACCACATTCGAGCACACTGATACACCAAGCACGACAGTCGCCAATGCAACTCATCGAGAGCAGAGGGTTCTTGGTGGCGAATGCTGGCTGTTGGCCGATAAACTGGCCCAGAATCGCAGCCGTATCCGCGAAGTCGTGGCCTTTTGCCGCATGGATGGCGTCGTTGTACCGTATCAGAGAGTAACTGAGATATTGGTAGGCTTGGATATCGACAGGGTAGCCGCGGCCGGGTAATATCTTGAGATCCAGGTCCGGCTCAAGATACTTGTTGACGAACCTGATGATCTGTCCAATGGCGGCTTTCTCGTCGTGACCCCGATCGTACGCGTGCGCCTGCAGCAGGTCAAAGAAGCAGGTCTGCCAGGTCACATCGCTACCATCCGGGTCTAGCAGGCGGTCGACGTTGTCTTGCAGCATGGCGAGCACCTCTTCGGAATGTTTGTCGGTCTGTTGGGTCTGGTTGCAGGCGACAACATGGTCAAGGTGTGTTTCGTCCGGGACGTGGTCCTGCAGTGTTTGGGCCTGGTAGAGTAAAGCGCAAATTTGGTAGCAAGACTTGCCGTCTCCCAAGGCGGCCAAAAAGCTGGCAACCTGGTGATACAGACGCCTCTTCTCTTCGCTATCCATAGCAGGACTGTAGGGCTGTGCGGTAGCCAGTTGGCCGGGCTTGACATCGCGGACATACGCTGTTGTCGCACGAGCTGTCTGGGAGTCGGAGAGGCCCAGACCTACTGTTCGTCGGCTGCCTGCAGGAAGAGAGGTAGCGGGAACGGGAGCGACAGCAGCAGCGGACGGTTTCGTCTCCCCTTCCGGAGATGTCGATTTACGGCCGGGCTTTTTGGTGCCCTTTTTGGCGTCACCCGCCTTGTACTTCCTCACTTCCCATATCGTCCCTATGCGGTGGACGTACTGCCGCTTTCTGCGATACACAAGATGTTTGTCAGTCGGCTGGAGCTTAGCGGGTGGGACGGTGCTCACGTTGCTGTGAAGTTGTGTTCTTCTTTCATGAACTCCATGACGTCCTCGAGCTTCATCCCTCCCTTGTACTTGCCGAGAATGGTGTCCTTGAGGCGTTCCCACTCCTTTTCATCGATCCTCGCGGCGTTTTTGGGCATGTCGACGACGAACTTGAATTCTGGCGAGTCTCCCATGGTGGTGGTGGCGACGACCGGTTGTCCCCCAGATGCTCTCACGAGCCAGGTATATAAGCTGCGTGGCCAGCTGGCAGGCAGTAGAAGTAGAGCCTCATATTTATTTGCGCGAGCCGAGTTGTCATGTCCATGACCTGAAATGAAATTTGGGTCTTGATGGGGCGCGCGCTGGCAGGGGATTTGCCCGCGAGAGTGCCTCACAAAAGGCGGCGGGTCCCAAGCCCGTCTAGGGATTTGGAAATTCGACGCCTGTCCGATGCTTCCATAATACAAATGGGGGGGCCAATAGGCGCCTTCGCGGCCTGCGTGCGCCTGTGTCTTCGTTGGCTAACGCGGGCTGGTGTGCACCTCAGCCTTCCTTGGCCACCACCACTTGGTGAGTGTGACCCCCCCGGATGTGGCTACTGGCTGCTCCGTACTTGGAATTTGGGAGAGGGCTTTGCTGGGGCTCTGCCAGCTCATCGCGACCAGTCCACAAGGTCGACGGCTCGCCGGTCGGAATTGGTCCAGACCGCGATGCCCCCAAGAGTAGAAAATGAAAATGCGCGAGGCGCGTTTCGGGCCTCGGATAAAGAACTAGAAGGGTACAGGTGATGACGCTCGGTTGGAGGTGTTGCGTGGGCTATAAGATGTTACCCAGGTCTGCCGCAACGCCGTTGCGTTCTCCAGCACTTGAAGCGATGTAATGTATTGTACATACATACCTTGGCTGCCATGGCGCGCGAGGACCTACTTCGTGGAATTGGAACTCAGTTCGACAAAATACAACTCCCCACCCTCACCGACCTTGACCGAGAGGACGTAGCGGCGCATTATTGCATGGCCGACAAGCAGCAACAGCCAATGCAGCCTGAAGAGTACATGCACATGTGCCTCGGGATCGACACTAACAGGCAGCTGAAGTACTGCCGCAGCGAAGCAGATAGTGCGTCTCGAGGGGAAAAACGAAACGACAGCGGCTCGATGTCGAGACGAACGGCCTCGCAGCGGAGCTCCACCCCAAGGACACGGCTTCGGTCAGAGATGCGGGCGCCTGCCAGGACAACAATCAGGCTCGGTGTCTTGAACGGGCAAGGAAGCAGAGACCAACAGCAAGCGAGGCACCAGGACCTCCGAGCCGGCAATTTCTCAATGAAACACGACAGCCTGAAAATGAAGGACAAACTGGATCGGTGGCGTCAACCATACATAACCCAACCCCAAGGTATGCAAATAAATATTCATGACGGGGCAGTGGTTTCTAGATTGCTCACTAGAGCGCAGGCGACCTCGAATCGAATCACAGCGGATGGAGCAATAGCGCTATCGCAGCTATGAGCGCGCTGGGCCTTGGGGCTAGTACTCACTGAAGCAGCGTCAGCAACGTGGCAGCATGCCCTGAAGGGGGGGGGGGGGGCCTTCTCATCAACTAACTTACCTAGATTACCTAGACCTTCAAACAAGACGGCCTTAGGAAAAGGCTGATTGAAGGGGGAGGGGCTCAGGGGGGACTTTTGTTTATTTCGGAAATCCACTGTAATAAAATATGGAATTTTAGAGCCTCAAATGCCATGCTCTCAGATTTCTCAGTGCGGCAGGCGGCTGATGCAGGCTTCCAGGTTGCCCAGTCCAAACATGAAGAGGATGTTTGGGATGCTTTAGTGGTCGAATTTCAACTGCGAAAGGCCATGTTGGGCCGCCGTAAAGCGCTCTGCTGGGAGGAAAGCCGCGAGGAATCTCGGCTCAGGCCCCAGCAAGAGCTCCGATGGTTTTTCTCGAGCCAGACGTCATGATGCAACATGCACAGCCGGAATCGACTACGGATGGCTTGAAGAGTGGTCAGGTGAGAAAAGGGATCTGCGATGTTTCTCGTCCTTTCTCTCTCACTCGCACAAGTGGAGTAATTATCCGTAGACCGTGGAACAAGAAGGAGCGCCCAACTGGCAACTTCCAGATACCGTCGTTGTTGTTCCGAAGCCTGGACACGGCAAGAGCACCTTTGAAGCAGTTGCGGAAACTGAAATTTGAACACGAAGGTGGCAAGTTGTCGGATCTGAAAAGAGACCGATGGCATTGCGAGGTTTTCCTTTCTCCTGACAGTTAAATTTTGTTTCTTTTGTTTTTTTTTCTCATTTAACTGCCCAGTGAACTCTGCGCGCTACCGTTGCTGC